AAATGCCCGGCGCCCCCGAGGCCGTGTCGGGGGACGGCTCGGGCACGAGCCGCCAGAGGAAGCTGGAGGCGCTGATCCGAGACCCTCGCTCACCCATCAACGTGGAGAGCTTGCTGGTAGGTGGCCGGCCCGGGAGCCGTCCTTGCTAACCGCTCACACCGCAGATCCCGCGTCTGCCCACCCATCCGTGGGGGGAGGCCTCGCCCCACCCCGCCCAGCTTCCGGCAGCCGGGGCCCGGGTCGGAGACCAAACATTTCTGCGACTAAGTTCCAGGAGTAGAGACCCACCTTTGAGTCTTCCCTTCTCCCTCCTGGAGCTGGTGTCATCCCCAGCTGCCCTTTCTTGGAGCGCGGGGAGGAAGCACCCCTCTTCTTCCCTCCTGCCGTCTCGGTTTGGGGAGTAGGGATCTGCTGTCTTTCATACACCAGGCTAGCCCACTTGAAAGAGTGTCATGCTGCGTCTGGACGTGGGTCCAAGCGAGAGAGAAACTTGATGCAGTCCCTGTGGGGAGTACTCACCTGGGTACCTGACAAAGAATTGCCCTCCCTCTCTCCGTTTAGTCTGAAATGTTGGAACATGGCTAAGGCTTTCCTGTTTTCAATTGTCTTTGAACATTAATAGTTGCAATTTAGTGCGTTTTAATTTCTGAAAATTTAATTTCCGAGATTATTGCGTCAGAGCTAAAGAATCAGTCTGAATTGTAGAGTGGAATCAACCTCTTCTTTTCATTGTATCTTTTTCCTGAGATGGCCTTTGAAATCCAGATTAATAGCCATGTAAAGTCTGCTAGTTGGCTTTGATTAAGAAAGGAACATGATTTACAAATTAGAAATGCATTGTAGTGTGCTTGTTTATTTCTTATTTTTGTTAGCATAGACTTGTATTTCACAGGCACTTTGATTAGTATGCAGTAGAGATGCATTTATGGGAAAAGGAGGTGTGGGTTTTTACCCTGGGCAGGAGAAAGAGAAAAAGAAGCCCTGGATATTAAGTTAATTCTGGAACGATTAGAATTCGGTAGTTGATTCTTGGATCCTTTGGATATACCCCACCAAAACTCCTGTTCAGTTTGCTCCCTTCTGGGAGAAACCTAGTGACCGACTACATGATGAGAAAAACTGTCTCCTCTCTTTCCAGTGAACTGACTGACTTTTCTTCAGGAGCCGTTGGTTATCCTTTGAGGTTTCTGGAATCATTTGCAGAGTGACTCAGTGCTGTTTGGCCAAAGTACAGGAACTGACTGAAGAGTGTCTTTTTCTGTATGATGCACAGAATGTAGTGATGTACTGTAGATGTGTCTGACATCTTCCTACACTGAGTTTCACATTAGTGTGTTGTTTGTATGTTTTCACGGGAGCATGACACCCAGGAGAGTGTTTAGAAGTCTTCAATTGGGGGTAGGATGGGTTGCATGAAGGGCATAGCTTTTCCTAGGCCAGAGCAGAGACTCTGGGCTTCACTCCCAGCATTTTCACTTTGGTATTTTGCTAGCAAAACTTTGACCTAAGGCCAGAAAGTTCAGTTAAAAATAGCACAGCAAATCTCAAGTATTTATCAGGTTTATATTCAATCTCAGATAGAAATTTTTTACACTTCACTTTCATCTCTTGTGTCTTTACTGATGTTAATCATAATTATTAGAGTTATTATGAGCTTGAGCCTAAGCTATTTATGCATGGTAATGATCATGCATTCTTTCTTGTTAAAGTATTTTCTAAATTATTAAAATGAAGATTTTTTAAAAGGAAGCATTACACATGCTCAGTCTGGTCCATTCATTTATTGAGTGCCTAATACAGCCAAGACAGTTTACACTTTCATCAAGGTGACATATTACTGGTATGAAAATTGACATCAGATGCTGCTGGCTGAAGATTTTGCTTTTGCTGTTTTTTGCTGATTAACTATTACAATTCTGAGTTGCAGTAAATCTTATCGGGCCAAAAGTTGTCCTTTACTCTTTGAGATTGCTGGTGCTTCTGTTGCAAATTGACAAGCTGAAATTTTTTTTAAACCATGTTATAGTAAGTTAACGTTAAATCATGCCTATTTCATTGTATGAAGTAGTAGAATGAATTAATTTTTTAAATTGTGGTAACATAAACATAAAGTTTACCATTTAAAATTGTATACTGCCTAAGATGACAAAAGTAAGAAGATTAAATATACCAGAAGTTGCTGTATAATAGTTACTGTAGGCTAGGACTAGAAGTTAAAAAGTATTTGTAGGAAAAAAATGTTATGTGAGATAACATGTAAAGTACTTAACTCGGTTCTTGGTACATGGCAGTGCTCATTAAATTTAGCTCGCTTCTGTGTGCATTTAGCATATTTTTAGGTAATTGCTTTAAATTTCCTTTGAAAAGGAAAATGGTTTTATTGGCAACTATTTCTTGCTATGAAATTTTGAATGAATAGCATTATCTTTTGATTTGCCATCAGAAAAGTGCTGGCAGTCATCAGGCATAGATAGAGCTGGATTCCAAGACTGTCAGTATAGAGACTAAATTGTCTTTTTTGTCTGCAGAGGCTCATTGCTTTATGTGGGTCCTTAAAATTAATCTGAAGAGAATATATCCTTTTAGTGGTTGGAGATTGTGAGTTGCCTAGTATTATTTAAAAACAGAGTTTTGCTTCTATAATATCTTTTTTTTTTTTTTTTTTTGGGAAAGGGTCTTCAGTAGTATGCTTTTGCAGTGTTTAAAGCATTTGGGTAAATACCCCTGTTTTGTTGTCAAGACTTAGCTTCTCGTACTCCTTACCCAACTCTTACGTCTTACAGTAAGGAGAATTGTCCTGTAGTGTTAAGTTGGAGAAATGTTTTTCTAAAGGTCTATGCTTTTGCATTTTGATTTGTTTTATTTTTTGAAAGAGTAAATGGTTGTAATAACCTGAGGGGCTCAGGCTTGGATAAACCTTTCTATTATAAGACTGATATCAATTGGGGAAAGATGATTAAAAATTTAAGATTTTCAGTGACTTAGAATATAGAATGCGTTATTTGATTGATTTTATTATGCCTGCAAACTATATGAAAATATTTCTTATCATAGTACTTAGACTTTCAGTTTGGTGCTGGTTATTAGCCTAATTAAAATAAAATTGTATGTGCATTTTTTCCCCACTATGTAACGAGCATGAATATTATAAAGATACAGAAGTGAAGCAGAATAAAAATTGAGTTAGAGAAGTTTTATATGTGTTTTTCTTTTGTGAAATAAAGGTTGAGTATTTGTAGCATAAATGGGATTGCATTACTTTAAAACTTCCATTTTGATGGTCAGAACATCTTTAAAGAAAATTAATTAGCTAGAGAGGTAAAAAAAAAGTAATGAATGGAACTTACTATTTAGGTGAAGTTAACCCCTTTGAAAGTACAGGTCCATAGTCCCTCAACCATAGTTCTGATACACAGAGTTCTGAAAACCAAGTTTTGGGTAAAACTTACTTGATGTAACATCTGACCTGATCTGATGTTACAATATTATAGTCAATTTATCTCTTTTGGTGTAAGTAATAATAGCTTTCCTTGGAAAAATATGTGTTTGATTTCAGGGTGCTACCCCAGACTCCCAAGAGGGTTTTTGGGACTATACTGTATATAGCATTGTACTTTATTTCTATTCTAAAATCCAAAACAATTCTGAATTTGGAAACATCTTGCCCCAAGGTAAGGCCAACATAGACTAAGTAAAGAAATGTAGATTTATGTACACCTTAAATACTTGTAAAGAAATAGTGGATAATTATCTTGAAGCCTGAGTTGTCGTTTTGGTTGTGTGCTGATCTGGTAGCTCTTTTCCCAGTTTGAATTATGAAATATTTGAAATATACTAAGAGAGTATAGCATGTGAATATGAATTATGGAGCATAAGGAAACAAACATTCATGAAATCACTGCTCAGGTTAATGAATAGATCACTAGCTTGTTCAAGTTACCTGTTCTGTTGCTGCTGCTGAATTCTTTCTTCCTGCATCCTCTCCCATCTGCTACCTGGAACATTTTTTTTTAAAAATCATTTCCTTGCTTTATTTAATAAATTACCACATTTGTATGTATCCCTAAACAATGTTGTTTTAGTTTTGTATTTTTTAACTCTAGTAGGTTAACATTTCTATATATTCTTTTGTGACATGTTTTTTCACTCAAAGTTATGTTTCTAAGATTCACCCACATTGTGCTTTATTAATATTTGCTGCTACTGTAAACTACAATATATTGCTCCAGTCTACTTGATGGATATTTAGATTCTTTTTCTTTTTTTTTTTTTTTTGCTGTCATGGGAAGTGTTGTGATCATTCTTGGAGCCCATGTGAAGTTTCTGGAGGCTGGGATGTATATCTAGGAGTGGAACTGATGGGCTTTAAGAAATGCTGTGTTCAGCTTAACAGAGTACTAAATAAAGTTTAAAATTTTCCACACCCCTTCTCTTGGAGTCAGTTATGCTTTAAAAAAAGTTTTTTTTTATGCTAAAGGTTACTTTTGCCTCTTCTAGAATTTCATATAAATGGAATCCTGTGTAGCATAAATTCTTTTATATCTGGGTTCTTTAGTTCAGCATAAGTTTTGAGATTGATCCATGTTATTGTATGTGTATCAGCAGTTTGTTCCCTTTTTTAATTGCTAAGTTGTATTCCATTATATGTATAAACCACAATTTGTGAGCCATCTTTTGTTAATGGATGCCTGAGCTGTTTTCAGTTTTTGTCTATTATGTATGATATACTTTGGCTCTTAATAAAGCTTTCTGTGAACAATCTTATAATAAGTCTTTGTGAGGACATGTTTTCATTTCTCTTCAGTAAATACCTAGTAGTGGAATTACTAGATCATAGGGTAGGTATATGTTTGGTTTTTAAAAAACTGTCAGATCTTTTCACAAAGTGGTCATTTTACATTCCCACAGCAGTGTATGAGAGTTCCAGTTCCTCCCCAACACTGAGTCTTTTAAATTTTAGCTGTTCTGTGGGTGAGTAGTGGTATTTTGTGATTTTAGTTTGCATTTCCCTGATGACTAATGATGTACTTTTTTGTGCACTTAACTGGCAATTTATATATCTTCTTTTTTTTTTTACATTTTTTATTGATTCATAATCATTTTACAGTGTTGTGTC